GTCGTGTTGAGAAAATTTCTTTTGGAACATCTTTTGCATGCCAGTAATGCTGAAAACCGTCTGGGCCATGGAGACTGAATTTTTTCTCGTCTGAAAACAACACTTTCTTCTATTTATCCACACCACAAGTTTGATAATCGGAAGCAAATTGTAAACGGGAGGTTTTATGGCGAAGAAAAAGGCTGGGACTCTGCAGCCGTTTGAAGTTCTTAAACCCTTTCTTATTTAAATGCCGTCGAATTGTCCGAGAGCTGCATTCAGAATCTGTATTCGCTTTTATCTGATTTGATGTTAGGCTTGAATCTCTCTTAACTTCTCGCCTAATGCGTCTGTCTAAAGATGGTGAAATTTTATTGGGCCGACCGCTTAATATTTTAGAAGCATACGCATCTGGATTTTTAATGAAGTTAGCAATGACAGTTCTGCTACGGCCAATTTCATTTGCAATGGCTCGTTGCGAAAGACCACGTCTTTGAAGTTCAACAATCCTGCCCTGTTCGAACTTTGTAAAAATCTTACCCTTAGCCATTTTAAAATCTGAAATTTAATACAGGAAATGAACTACGTAGATGTCTACACGCCTGAAGTTATAAGCACACTGATTAGTGCTAAAATGTTTGTCCCATAATTTGTTTTTTTTTCACACATGGTCTTATCCTTTTTTCAATGTTTGCTTAAATTAATCAATTAAAAGCTTACAATGTTGACTACATTTTCTAATTAAATGTAAATGTTTCGCAAATATATTTTGATTAAAGTAACAGTATTTTACATTTTTTAACCCTTTCGTATCTGGTCTTAAGATTTTGACCAGGGGTCTATTTCTTCTATCTTAATTTAATTAAAAAGAAAGGAAATCTTCTTTTCTTTTTTTGAATTGAGTTCAATCCAAGCAAGGCAGTAAAGCCACTAAAACACAAGGGGTTCCTAGGTTTGGAAGACTTAAAAAATATTACTAGAGAATGGAAACAAAAGATGGGTAATCAAGAGGACAGTAGAATAGCGTGGAATTCTGAGAGCGATGGATTGCCTTTGCCCACGTGTTGGATATAAGGCCAAAACGGCGTGAAGTCGGCAGAGAGTCGTAAGGATTTTTAAAAGTCTACTCACTTTCTGCAACCACATTCCTCAGAGAGGCTAGCCCACACGTGGCGGAATGCGAAGCCTACACGTGGGCATGCGTTCCCTTGAAGATCTTCTTTCTCCTAACTCATAGAATCGATGCTACACATCTGCCCCCTCTCGTGTGATAAAACGAATAACGAAAACAGGCGGAACGGAACATTAAGCAATGTGCAAAGGCATCTAAAGGAGCTAAATACACACACACACACAACACACACACACACACACACACACACACACACACATATATATATATATATATATATATATATATATATATATATATATATATATACCAGGTGTAATAGGAAAATTGTCCAAATTGTGTTTAAGCATAATTATCTATCCCACAAAATGTTCAATATCAAACAAACCACTAATTGAGTTTCTTTTTTTTCTAGGTTTTTTTCAGATAAGACGTTTAACCATTTTAACACCATTTTCGTAAGATTCGCTGAAAAGCTCTTTCAGTTATTAAGTCAAAAATAGAGCAGGTTAAAATTGTTTTGTGTCAGAACCACTGTTCAGATCTTCAGTAATGGTACCAACATTCATACTCTGGCTTCCGTCTTCAAAGTCTATTCAAGAACCATTAAGAGAACGGTGAATAAGTTTTAAAAATAGGGAACAGTAGAGAAAAAAAACTGGGACAGGAGGTCACAACAGCAATAGGGATCATCATTTAAACTTAGCGATAAAGACATCGATTAGAAAAGATCCAACTCATTTCATAAGATGTTTGGCAGACGAGAGAGGAGTTTCAGTATGACAGTCCAAAGAGCAGTGTAAAAAGACTAGCAAATGAAATCGTACGTGAAACCTCTGAGGCACGTTGTTACTCCAGGAGAGAAATTTAGATGGTTAGAGAGGCCGAAGATCATCTTCAATAAGTAAATGATCCTGGAATTATATATATATATATATATATATATATATATATATATATATATATATATACACAAGTTTTGTCTCTTTATTTTATGTTAATTTTTTCATAACGTCAACGATAATGTTATTAAACTTATCAACGTTTAATAACATTATCGTTGAACGAAGAAAGAAATTCACAATATTGATCCATATTTTTTTAATACAATCTAAGCTTTCGGCTTACATAAGCCATTATCAAAGATGTCAATTACAACATATTAAGCAATATACGGACAAGACAGTGATATACTTGTCGAAAACACAATTATACTTCGACATGAAAACAATAGACAAAAACTAAAAATCCTTGAAGCATTATACATCAAACAGTTGAAACCCAACCTATACAAAATCAATTATGGCATATCTACAAATATTCTTAAATGTCTATAATTGGTAACAGAAGCCATTGGTTTATACCAACGGCTTCCCATACTTCATACTT